GGGATCATGGGAACGCAAATGATTAGTACAATAATTAATACAAAACCGCAGTGTTTCAAAACACTGTCCATTCACTAAATAATCATTGCTTTCCATGAGAAATAAGTTCATAAACATGTCGAGTCAAATATATATCATTCAAACGTCCGATCCGAGTACACCAAAATCCTCTTCGGCCCTAAAGAAATGCGCAATATTTATCAGTTAATTAATCAATATTTATACCGTTAATTTTTCTATTTATTATCCGTGAATAAAAAAAATGTCTCAAATCGTGACACGCTTTTCTTGAGAAGTTTTCGAATCTGACACCGTTGCATTTTTCAGTTTCCAATTATGAGTTCTAATTAATTTTATTTAATTGTATTTTCTTACCTTGTTTTACGTCTTCAATCATTCTCTGGACGTCCCCTCGTGCTTTGATGTACTTATCGCCTTGCTTCTCAACTGTAGCTTGAAGCGTCTCGAGTATCTTCCGTTCTCGCTCCTCCGCYTCGTGGACTTCAAAGCAACTATGACCCGTGTGGGATCCATAAAGATGACATATTTCGCAACACAAAACGTTGCATGTTCGACAATAGAAATTTAGCTTACTCTTGTGCTCGGGGCATTCTAAAGAAGCGAGAAAGGAGATTTTTGCATAAGCACGTGGTGACARACATAAGTTATATCGTCTATATTAGATGATACTTTGACAAATAAAACTGACATTCGCGATCCGTGTATATGAAAGAAAGCGAATGTGTTACAGTAAAGCAACATAGGAATAAATAGCAAATGAATGAAAGATTGAATGACAGACGAAAACACGCGAACACATACATGGATGATATGAGAACTTTTAARAAGAGCCATGGCCGATCGACTTGCAATGCGTCTTAGAATTTAGCCGGCATTATTTGAAATGATTGATGAGCTGGAATATTAATTGAAATTTTTCGGGATGAATTGTGATTGGATGAATGCAATGCAATCCATGAATAAATGAATAGATGGATGAAGAAATGAAATTCGAGAAATTTGAAAAAATAAATTAGAATTTTTGACGCAAAGTTCGAAAAGTTGCCATCAATAATTATATTTTTGTTATCAACTAGTAAAACTTGTCCAAGTCTGTTGGATTTTAGTCAGTTAATCCCATCCAGAAACTTTTAAAATGTTTTTTCGATATTCCGTGGGCAGAACACGTAAGCTTTTACGTATGACAAAAATGAAGCGTTTTGCGTTTACRTAAGGCGTCGGTGGATTGTCTCACCTGGTGCATAACTACGTTTTAAGTCATCTGATAAAAAACAGTTGGCAAAGTGAGATAAGCAGACATTCGTGATTAATATGATGAGTTACGTATTTCTTTAGAAATGCAAACTTTTTACTATGCGTCTGTGAATTCTAGCGCGCTGATTGGCTAATTGGAGTGTGTATATGAGGAAATTTAAATTTGACGAGTACGAGTTTTATTACGAGTACGAGTTCTAGAAATGGCTTTTAGCGAGTTGTTGATACAGGATTTCAGTAAACTTTTTGTTTTTTATTTATTAATGTTACAGTCTATCTCAGGAATTCAATTTATGATCGATAACATACACCAAGCAAATTTTAAAACTCGTACTCGAACTCGTCGTCAAAACTAAAATTSCCTAATAACATGTAGCCTCCTTTGCAGACGTTATTAGTGTCGGTCATAAATTCCCTTTAGTGGAGAGGGAAAATTTATGACCGATACTAATAACGTCTGCAAAGGAGGCTAAATAACATGAAGTTCACACTGCAATGACATCCATCACGTATCGGACGCATGCTCAGTTGAAAGAAAAAAAATTCAAATGATCWAAAACCTTTCGCGAGTGGTTTCACTTGAGTTTTGAATATTTTATGACGTAAAGAGTGTCTTAACAAGAGAAAATGTCACTCAAAACCTTACGCAATTTGCTAAACAATGCCTCTGCAAGAAATTGCAGAATTTGCGCGCATATAGAAGCGCTTAACTGGGTAAACTAAAACAGTAACTTAAAAACACATAAATATTTTGTAGAWTGTACACGATACCTGGCAAAAGACTATAGTTCAACAAGTGACTTGAAGMTTGACTGCTGAGTTTACTTGACGCTCTACTGCTCGTAGAGCCAACGGAAGACGGTCGTGATTTCGTCGGTACAGACGTATTGTTCTCATCTTCCTCGCTTTTTGCACTCGCCAGRCAAATATCATGAGTTCTGAACTCGATTTGAGAATGAATTTCRTCAGAACAACTCCCGCAAGAATAAACGGAGCATTCAGTACAGAAAAATCGAGCTGGTTTTGGAGGGTARACTTTTGAAGCGCAGAAATTACAGATTAGTTCTTGTTCTTTTTCGGATTCAAAGACAGCTGTTAGAAGGTCCAAGTTTTTTGGTAAACCCTCGACGCCATCGCTATTGAGAAGTGTTCTTAGTTTGCACGTTGGRCATTCRATGACATCTCCTTGTAGATCACCAATTTTCGTAATRCATTCTGAAAAAGGAAACATTATTAATAAAAAAAAGAAAGGAGAAAAATAAGAAAAGTTAGGCAAAGACAAGAGCAACTATAGTCCTGAGGAAGACTGAAAATTTAAAAGAAGATAACATTATTATTAAGAATATTTCGTCTCGTCCAAATAATGTGTACATTCATGGAGTAAAGAATTATACTCAAATAAACTTGAATAAATCCGATGTTATATTTTGTCCTCATAAGTTGTAAGTCGGACTGAAAATCACATTATATCGTTTGTACCCGAAGACTTTGTAATATTTTATAGTGRCATCATTGTGTGAAAGGGAAATTCGAAAAGAGATAAAAGAAACGACCAGAAAAAAGTATAAAAAAAGGAGGCGAGATGAAACAATTAAAAAACTTTACCTTCAACAAAAGGCAAAGAATGCAAGAGTGTTTTAAATAAAGTGGTTTTGACTTATTGTAGGGATTATATATAATCCACGCATGCATCTTACTGGTTCTACACTTAGCTCTTTTAGACAATTTGAAACATTTCAGTTCTAGATTTATGGTGATCGAAAACCTCAGTTTCATGTCAGACGGAAAACATGAAAATCACTTGAAAAAAAAAACAAGAAACATTTACCATTCAGAACCAGACCTACAAAATCAGTTAAGACATGTGTCATGTCGAAAACTAGTAAACGATTTAGTTTAACAAAAGAAGATTAATTCCGAGGGATAACCTTACATACTATAAACTGATGTCTGTAAACAAAGATTATAATTTGAATGCAAATTTTCATCGCTTAGAAACAAAACCAAACCTCACCCTAAATCTTGTCATCTCGAAGATTTTTGCTCAATTATWKTTTTATTTTTTATATTGAAAACGAACATTTTGACTGCTTCTTTCCCGGGTATGTACACACTTCGAAAAATTTTCAAAGCTATTGTCAAAATACAATAAGAAATTCAGAATGACTGCCAAATAGCCTAAAGCTTCGTGGAAATATTTACATATCTAGCTCCAACTATCAAAATAAATTTGGCTCCAGTTAACTTAAACTCTCGAAGTTTTGTTGTTGGAAGARAGCTGAGAATAAAACATTTCGTGAATAATTCAGCCGTAATAAATAAATTGAAAACAACTATTGTCACACATCAGTGTTGAATCGCTGCCACAAGTCACTTAAAATTATAACTTTGTGAGCACTTAGTTACAGCGCAATGGACAAACAAAAAACTTCGAAAAGCAAATCGTCAATTCGTATACGAATCGCGAAAAAGTATCATCAAGTTAAGCACTTGAATTCTTTTTCATAATTGTAACATTTTGACCTTGCTGTGGATAACTTCACGTACGATCGAAGACACTTACCTGTACAAAATGTATGCTTGCAGTCRAGATCTCGTGGAATTCTTTGTGGAAATCCTGTGCCGTATTTGCTGTAGCATATTCCACACATTAATTCCTTCTTTTCAAACATTTTAGGGTAATTTAGCGCAGTTGTTGGCAGCAAACTGCACAACCACGAACCTCGAACTGTGTTTGTTTATAGTTCGAAATACGCGCTTAGCGACATGCGCTCTTGTAGTAACACAGGAAGCCCAAACACCTTTTGTTAGCTCGTGGATACGTTCATAGCTCGTGGATAACTTAAAATACACAAGAGGCCCCGTTTTGGATAGGTACGTGCCGCCAGCGGTCTAAATCCCTGACCCTGTTTAAGACACTAAAAAGTAAAAATCCATACCCTGTTCAAGACAAATCGGAAAAATAAGGAATAGCTTTCTACGCCGCAACCATCAAAACTGCAATTACTAACTGACATCCATCAAAGACAATAAGAAGTTTTTGATAACACGTTAATTCTGGGACAGTGAAACGGTATTTCTACGGTGTTATGAAAATATTACCCTGTCCAAGACACACAAAAAAATTATATCGGTCTCTTTTATCTAAATTGTAGAGCCTGTTTAAGACAATTTCGGGTGAAATGTATACCCTGTTTAAGACAGCAAGGCCAAAAACCATACCCTGGCCAGCGGCACGTCCCCGTATAGCAAATATATGGGAGTACCCCCCCCGGGAT